TAGAAAACTTTTCACCTCCAACATCATAAACACGCCACATTCTCAAGGCTCTATTCTCGTACGAGAAGTTGTTTAATGCCTGTACGCCGGTCATGGTATATTTGATCATTATTAAAAACTGGATCATTGGATAATGCAATTCAAGACTTTTCATTGGCTTTGCCATTATGGTATATGAGCCAATATACCATAAACTACGATATGGCAAGCGTATGCATAAGCTTAGAATTGAAAGGGAGCTAAAAATTTAATAAAATTTAATAATTTAATGTAGGGTTTTTAATAAAACAATTATTCCACTCGCGTTTGTTGGATATGAGATGATTATAGCCAACTCGGCGCTACGCGCCTCGTTGGCTATCTATCATCTCATATCCAACGCGCGCTCGTGGAATAATTGTTAATTGTTTGTGTGGATGGCTAAACTTCACACACTGCTGCAGAGCAGCCCTCGACTCCACCCGGCTTGAGAGCAATATGACAGTTTTGTTTTGTTTTATTTTGTTTTTTAATCGAAACCTTTTTTTGAATGATAAATTTGTGACTATACTTGATTTAATCTCCTACGCGTTTCGTCTGACAACAACAGATTTCATCGAGGAGTATTTACAAGTATGGCAAATCTTACTTATTTAAATATATATTTTCGACCTGTACGCATAGTGTGAAGCAAGCGTCAAGGTGTCCCCAGGATGTTGTGCATCAGTGACATTTTTTGGACGTTACATGCATGAGTACGTGATGTGCTTGGGTGTCACAGACTTGGTAAAGCAAATAGAAGGCATCCATAACGACGCAAGGTGTACTTAAGGTGTTGTACGTGCGTGACATTTTTCGGACGTTACATGAACGCGTTTGGATGTGTTTGGGGTTACGTCAACATCTTTAACCCTCAAACACATTACGGACTCGTACACGTAAAGTGTCTACTTTATCTTTTACAAAAGTTTTCGGCCAAAAAAATATATTGGTTGAATCATGGTGATAAAAAAAGTAACACAAGCATATGTTGCTAGCGTAAAGAAATGTTTTACACGAGACCTACACACCTCAGCCCGACACTGCGCAACGCCAAACCCCCAAGAGTGCCATGTAACATTTGCCTGGCACATTCACGCAGGAAAGGCCCTGACATTCAGGGAAAACTTGCCGAAAAAAACCAGGCAGTTGTAATGATAAAGGTTTTTTTAGAACATTCTGGTGGTGTTACCTTGAAAAAGGGCTTGATAATTACTGATGAAAGGTCACTTTCCTTCTCCCTCACTACGTTCGTCTGCAGGAATATTTTCTTTCTCCTGAACGCTGACGCATACAAATAGACACAAACTATAAGGCAGGCAGAGTGAGAGCACTTGCCTGCCACGCTGAAAATCAAAGAAAGGGCAATGAGCATACCTCGGAAAAGTCTCATATCGTCGCTAGAGCGAGAACTGGGAGCGTTAGACGAATTCTTGGCTTTTTCGGTTCTTTTAAAGGCATTTTGTTTCTTCTGCTTTAGAGCTCTTCTTGCGCTTTTTTGATTCTCTTTCCGTCCTCTGAGTCGCTCGCGAGCTCCTCAGTTTGGTATTCTTTAACAGCCAGCCAACCGGCCTCGCTCTTATCAGCAAGTTTGATAATCTTTTGACGATGGCGTAGACTTTTCTTCAGTTCTTCCACCTTCTCGCCGGCTTTCCCGACGTCCCGTGCGGCCAGGAAATTGGCGGTATCGCCCAGAGTCCCTTGCAGTTCAGAATTAAAAAGGAACTGGTCTTTGTTGCCTTGGAATTTTAACTTTCCCGCTTCAGCCACTCTTTCTAACTTCTGCTTTCCGCTGCTTGTTTGGGAGACAAAACCTGATGCAAGGCTTTCGACCTAGGTCGATCTAGTTTTCGATCTAGGTAGGATTTAAACCGCTCGAAAACTTCCTCCGTCTCCAAAGACTTCTGGCTTTGTGGAGATTTTGGGCTCGAGGGCATATCGTTGCAATAAGATAAACAGAAAATGTGAGCTAAAGCACCGCCGAGTAGTGTCACCCTTGATGAATATATCAAGGAAGACACTCCTTAATATACTCAGCTGGAGTCTCAGGAGACTCTACGTGCTAACACAAAACGTGTTAGCATGAAGGCATGCATACTCTCGCTAACTTCCGAAGGCCATGAAATGCACGCTATAAATACCATTTTTGTGTGGAAATTTCATTATGGTGGTAAGTAGCAACAACAACACTTCTCAGTCTTATTTTCTGTAGAAATAACGCAATATATGAACTTGATTGGGCCATTGATATCTCCTTTCAAGCGAGAGAGCAGAGTTTCTCGTCATCCACTGTATGTAAAAGCCGAAGTTGTTGTACTCGAGAACTTGTATGTCATCAAGAATGCGGCATGTGACTTTAAAATATCCTCTCCTGTTACAATCTCATGATTGTAAACTGTGATAATAAACAAACAGATCAACGACTAATAAATGTCTATCGCCGTAAGAAAGCCATATCTGCCTATTTTCGGCAAATCTCCAAAATAAACGACAGAAGGGAGAAACGGTACGCCTCTCCCATCAATATTTTGTCTACATGCTTCTCTTTAAACGTGAAATTTCCCAATTTCTTCCAAGAATCTGGAAAGTTGCTTACATTTCGTAGCTTTCTTGACTATCTTGTTTAACGAGCTAGAAAATGATGGTATACTTGCCTAAATAACTGCTTACAGCTAGAATTGCGTGACAGGTGTAGCTGAGAGAAGCTTTCAAAGTCACAGATTTCAAAAGGCATTCTGCACAAAAATGTGGTAGTGTCCAAAGATTTTTTTAATGATTTTCAGAGATGAAATAATGGACTAGAAAGGGGCATTCAAATTAGTGTTGTAGCTTTCTGGCAAGGAGAGATATTTAACCTCAAAGTTACCAAATATTTGAGTAAATCTAAAATCGTAAAAACACACTAATTTATTCACCTCTGTTGATTGACAAGTCGCCAATCAAATCGATTGAAACTTGTATCGTACATTTATTAAGGATGTACCCATACGTATGCAAGCCTTGAAAGTAATTTGTTAAATACAGTTGCAGTAAGAGTTTCTTACATTTTACCTATTTTGAGGCATTTCTTAGTGATAACCTAGAAAAACCGGGAGGGTGGTCTATCTTCCCCTGTAAATAACCAAAGCAGAAAACAGTTTGTCACTTTGAGTTTTGGGGTAGATCCTTTGAACTGGCAAATCTTCATTGAAATCAGTGAGATGGCATGTATTACGACTACCTGCTGCTCTCGTGAACACGTTCTGAAGTGCACAGCTTAAAAGATCTCATGGTGTTAGCCCTTGATTAATAACTCGATGAAATATAATTTTACAGTTGCACTGTTCATGCATTCTGTGTGGAAACATAATTGTAGATCTTCATCCATCGATTAAACATGGAGATAGTCCCACCATTCATGGAATGAAATAGCAGATAGTTGAGAAACAATCACATGCACGAATCTCATTCCCTCAATGTGTTCTCCACAGGAAAGAGATCTCTCTGGTTCGTATACGAGGATTCTTCATCTCCAGTACCTACGCACTGTACTTCACCAGCTCCACGATTGCAGGTTTTATTTCAGTCGTGACGCTGCTCCTTACAGGGAATCTACTGACCTCATTCAAGGCTTTTACACTGCTGTCCGTGCTAGGTAACACTAAAATGGTGGTGACGATATTCCTTGTCTATTCAGTGCGCTTCATTGCCGACGCAAGGACGGCATGCAGCAGAATGCAAAGGTTACTGGAGATAAACTCCACGTCAAAGATGCAAAGGGATCACAAAGATAAAATAATGTTCTTTAAAAACCAAAGAAAGCGATCAGATTTTGTCAGAATTGATAGCTTTAAAAATGAAAAACCGGTCTTAGTTGGTGCTCGAAAGCTTGAACCGATAACCGACAACCATCTGCCAAAGGTTACCCTGGAAAAAGTTTCGTGTTCTTGGAGCAAAACGTCGGAACTTCCTTCGTTGCAAAATGTCTCGTTAGAAGTTGCTGATGGGCAGCTTATGGGCTTGACAGGGCCAGTTGGAAGCGGAAAAACAACTTTACTACTTAGTATTCTGGGCGAACTTCCCGTATCATCTGGTCGTGTTTCTTGTATTGGAAAAATAGCTTTCGTATCCCAAATTCCTTGGGTTTATTCGGGCACAGTGCGAGAAAATATTGTCTTTGGGAGACGGTTTGTTGCAGAAAAGTTCAATGAAGTTGTCATGGTCTGTGACCTAGAGAAAGATATTAAACGTTTTCCAAAAGGCGATCTAACGGAAATTGGCCAACGCGGAGTCATCCTGAGCGGTGGTCAGCGTGCTCGAGTCAGTCTAGCACGGGCAATTTACAGTGATGCGGACATTTACTTATTGGATGATCCACTCAGCGCAGTAGATGCCAAAGTCGGCAAACATCTATTCGAAAGGTGTATCAAGGAGTTTCTAAGCGGAAGAATACGTATTCTGGCTACTCATCAGTTACAGTTCCTGAAAAGGACTGACAGCATTGTGGTGCTTGAGAACGGTTCCGTTGTGGGTAAAGGTACATATGGTCAGGTATTTCAACAC